GTGTTGAAAGTTGTACCTCAACTATTCAGGATGACTTTTAATGAATTTTTGAAATAAACATAATTGTAGTGCATTGACTGTATTGCACTGAATATGAGTTTACTGTGATTTCTGAGTAATATTACAGTAAATCTGGGTAAAAACTGGCCCAGAGGTAAAGTAGGTGTCCGAGAAGAGGATTGTGTTGAAAGCTTGGCATCAACTTTTAAGAATGATTTTTAATGAATTTTTGAATATGCAACCAGACTGTCACGATGGCTGTATTGGGCTGTTCCATTGTAATTTGTGTGCGCGCGTGCGTGTGACTGTTCACGCGCGTTCATGTGTGCGCGAGTCTAGGCTTTCAATCAGGATATAAAGCGAAAAGGCGCTACCGTAAAGACTGGTGTAAAAGCGCAAGGAAATTTATGCGGCGGATAGGAGGCGGCTGGCTTGACCGCGGCTCACAAATGACGGCTCACTTTACCGCAGTCAATAGTTGGGTTGCGGTCACGTGGTTCTGATGACGTGCGGAGGCAGCGCGATTTTTGAGTGGAGGGCGGAAGTAAACATGGAGGACACTGTGGAGAGTCAGGAGAGCAGCTATCGTGCAACTTTAGACCCCGTTTCTCGGGAGAGATATAAACAGATAGTTAAAAAATATATCGGACGTGATCCGTATTCTTTGAAAATGTCCGAATACACCACAGAAGTAAAGGATTTGCCTACTATCGAGGCTGTGGATATCACCAACTACTTGGTCCTCCAGACTTCTTACTACACTAGGCAGCAAATGAAAGCTTTCAAGAGTCTGGAGGCGTACAATTTTTTTGTCAGCGGGTGGGTCCACAACCTTGGAACAAAACGTCTCCGTGATGGATACAGTTTGGTGTTTGCAAGGGTGAGTGTTTGTTCTTATATTGCTTTATCTTAAACACGCTAACAGTTAGCGGTAGCGGCTTTAACGTCAACAAACATGCCACATCCTTAGGACTTCGTTAGAGTGACAGTTGTTTGTTTCAAGGTAAACCATTCTCAGCGGTCTAACGAGACACCTCTGAAGACTTGGGTAATTGCAAAGGAGGATGGAGAAGTGATTGCAGCTCATTGCAATTGTATGGCAGGGTTAGTAGCCTAATTAAGTAGGATGTTATTGCAATGAGAACACACACACACACACACACACACACACACATACGCATAGGGCACTGCTAGCATTTTGCAGGTGTACTTCAGTAGTAGTGGGGAGAGAGTGTTTTCTTTTAGCTAAGAATTCATCAGCTAAGAATTTGTGTGATTGCCTTAGATCCCTCATGACACTCAGATGCATTTTTCAGATAGAGGGTAGAACTATTCAGTCATGTCATCACCTAGATAATGATTTCTCTATAGGCTGTTGAGAAAGAGTTAATTAATAAACATGTTACTTCAAATAAAGTGCCATTGCACATTAGTATTAGTAAGCTATGCATCATCAAAATGTACTGTAAATATTGCATTTCATGTTAAAAAGATTATGTGCTCTATTTCCAGACTATCAGAATCATGCTCGCACGTTGGAGCTGTTCTTTTTGCAGTTGAAGCTGGGGTGAAAATGAGAGCGACATGCACATCAGAGCAGTGCAAGTGGCTGATGCCATCTCATGTTAAAAAGGTAAGCCAAAAAGCAAAATGTAGGATAAAGAATGTTATATTGGGACTTCATGTGACAGTAGGATAAAATATCTTCCCCTATACTGCTACCTTGTCGTGGTGGGGAAGCTTGAGTGCCTCAATGACCCTGTAGGCTATACCGGCGGGGGCTTCAAGCTCCTGGTAGATCTAATCAAGCCGGGCAGGTTGCAGGTGAGGGGTCAGACAAAAGGCAGTACTTTAATAAATGAAGAGTTCTATTCCAAAACGCTATAACAGCATTTAAAAGCCATTTCCTTTTTCATGACTAACATAACCATGACTGCAGAACCGTATACTGTATATCACACCCTTCTCATGCATGCCTCAACACCCTAGCACTTGTTTTCTGCGCACACACACACCTGACTGCAGCACTTTATATATTCACATTTCTCATGCATTCCTCAATACTCACAACTCCTCACACCACATTTTCATCAACATGGAACTGCTTACTTTCCACTCCTTTTATACCCAGCACATGGCACCTCCATCCCCACCCAACATACACACACACACACTTCACTGCCAACCAACCACTATACCCAGCCTAAAACACACATACTCACTCCACTGCCATCACTGTTCAATTTCGAATATTTTTGGAAACGAATATATAGCGTTTTGGAAAAGAGCTTTTTAAATTTTAATGATCTTCTTTGGCTTAATTTTTCCAGATTCCTGCTTGCCCAGTAACTCTGATTGACTTCTCTTCAGCAAAGTCAAAAAAACGAAAGCTTGAGTGTTCCATTGATGGCTGCACAAGTACACAAAAGGTTAGGAAATCACTTCCATGCCCAAGAGTGCAGAGAGATTCAGAGACATACTGTAGGTTTTTTGAGAGTTTAAGCAAAAACTGTCCAAGGAGTGCAGCACTGATGTCTAGGGAACCTTACCACAAAGAATTTGTCCCCCAGTCTAGCATGCTTCCTAAAACTGTGCCTGAGTACAGAACACCAGAGACACTGCAGCTCAAGTTCTTAAGACCAACCCCCAGCAACCATCAAAGAGCTTGATCAAGGTCATATGCTATCCAGAGGCATATAGGTTCACCACAGCTGCTACAAGGTATTTAGGGTTTGATGTAGGGTAAGGCAGAGTTAAGATTTGGGGTATGAAACTGTCCATAACTGTAACTAAAAAAGTGTTATGAAGATGGAGGTTAGTTATAGGCTTATACGGCTAGGGTTATACAGGGTAAGAACTAAGTATAGTTTAGGGTAATGGCATATTGTATAATACATCACTTTACTGTTTTACACATCCAATACTAAGTAATAATTTCCTTTTCATGTTTGGCATGTGTACTGTTTATAGTTATGGATGCAAACATGAAGCACAAGCCAGAGGAGCATATGAGAAGCTTATGAGCCAGGAGCATGCAGGCTTCTCATGTATGGACAGCGGTCTCTGGCTGAACCCCAAGTGGCCATACATGGGGTCCTCCCCTGATGGGATAGTCACTTGTGACTGTCATGGAACTGGCATCTGCGAGATTAAGGTATTGACTCTGTTGTAGTCAAGGCCATAGGTGTGACATCTTTCCATAAGAATCAGTGAACTGAGTAAAAATGCAGGAAATACCTTTTCTAATTTCTAATCTATTGTTCAATTAAGATAAGATGAGGCTTTATTGTCTGTGTCAAATAGACATTTGTTTTGGGCAATGAGAGATTATGATAACACAGACCACACCCATCATCTTTGCTTCTTCACTGTTTCATCAGATAAATCTTGATTGTTGTTCTCATCACTGTGATTTTAGTGCCCACACTCTCAGAAAGATGCGGTCAACCTGCGCATGCGTGCTGGGGAGAAGGGCTTCTGCCTCATCAGTGACGGGGATAATGTCACACTGGACCCAACTCATGACTACTATTACCAAATTCAGGCACAGCTTCACATTGCAAATGCAGAGTACTGTGACTTTGTTGTGTGGAACCGCAATGACATATTTGTTGAAAGGATTTTGCCTGACCTTGAGTTTTGGGATGATGCGATTCCTAAAGTTGAGTGTTTTTTTAGAAACAGTATACTCCCAGAAATACTGGGACAGCAAGTTACAAACATACATGTGTAATGTGATAAAAGGACGACAACATAATGACATTTTGAATATTGTTATGACCTGATGGTAGTCATGAGTTCTGGCTATTGTATTTGCTCTGACGTAGCATTAGAGCACAAACTGTCATTTAATTTTATTGTACATTTAATTGTGTCATTTAAGTGTTGTGTAACACTACACAATGATTAAATGCTATTGAGGCAGCATAATAATACATTGGTGGTTTATTTACAAGATTAGACTTTTAAACAAATAAACAAAATAGATTGCAATCCATCTCACAGTATAATACTGTACAAACTGCCAGCACAATTTGACAGTTGGAGAAAAATATTTCATTTGAAAACATTTACAGACTAATCAGGAGTCAGGACTTAGGTACTACTATTACTCTACCCTGTTCTACTTATCACCAGAGCCAAGCAGCAGATACTGGACACTACTCTTCCTCTCCACCCCCTTCTGTGAGCCGTGACAGTGACAAGACATTTACTTTTTTTTAACTGATTGATTACCACCCACCCCCCTTACTCCAGTGGGACAACAGACTCGGAGAGATTTGATAAGGCACAACAAATTACCCCAATCTTGTCGATCAATGCATGTGTCTCACCTGGCTTTGTGGACATGTTCTCTATTGGCATAGCCCTGCTCTGCAGAATTTGATATTTCCTCCTGACTAAATCTATGACTCGCTCAACATGGATACGCAAATTGGCTATTTTCCTTATCTCTGCCACTTCATAGGCTGACAGCTGTTTTCTCCCTTTAGTGAATGCCGGTGTCTGTAGTGAAGCACAGTAAAACCCCACATTATCGCCAATATTGAACCCACGATCTGCAAGGACAATATCTCCAGGTAACAAGTTCTTTAGGAGGCCACTCTCTATTGTGATCTGCTTATCGCTAACTCTCCCTCCCCAGGCAGAAGATATGTAAGTGACGTAGCCTTGGGGGGCAACACCAATCAAAAATTTTACAGTGTGATGGTGCTTGTAGTTGGACCAAGTTTGAGCTTGTGCAAGAAGATTAGATGGTCTCTCAATAAAGACTTCAAAGCAATCAACAATCACAGCCACTTTACATCCAAATGCCTGTCTGAAACTCAGTGGCATCGTAGCTTGAAGAACATGTCGCTCTGGCCACTCAATTAGGAACTCTAACCTTTTATGAAGTATGTCAATTACTTTATGCCAAACTCTAGAAGCAGTGGACAGAGAAATATTGAACCTGAAAGCTAAATCTTTCAGGGGCAGATTTAGTCTCAGCCTCAGCAAAACTAGTATGAATTGTTCAAATTTGGACAACAAAGACATAGGTCCGAGGTGATATAGGGCTCGCACAGTTCAAAAATCTGAATTAAAACTAAGAAGTTGGGGAGCCCTGTGTAGAACTTTGTCTTGTCTTCATTTTTTTCAAAAGCCTCCTGGCTGAACTGTGTGTCCAGAGCCTTGCTCCGAAGATCAACCAGCTCTGCTGTGTTCTGTCTCAAAACATCCTCCATCTTCTCGATGTCATCCATCGTCAGCTCTGTCTGGCATCCAGCATCCGCACAGCCTGCAATATAACAGTGGGGGAGCATAATCAGCATAATAGAGGCAACCTCAATTTTTACTCATTTTCACTGTAGGAGTTTTTTAGTGGGCTATTAGAATCTGGTGTAATGTGTTTAATTCACTATGTTAATTTAATGTAATTTTTTTTTTTTAATCAACAAAAAAACATGTTGCGTCTAAACAAAAAATATATTTATATGTTTCTCACCACAGAAACCTTACATTACGGATATCTTTACTTATCTGTGAAAGGAGACTGTCTGGAATCTGGCAATATAAGAACCATAGCAGTGTACAAAAACCTGTGGTGTGTGCCTGACGGTAATAAGTGCCACTTTTTCTTTTTTTCTGAATAAAATGGTATGGATTTACTCTGTGATTAAAAAATCACAAACATGTAATATGTAACTTGGACCATAATCATTACAGATAATGGCATCTTTTTCTCTTTGACATGATTCTTGTTTGTTTTACATCTCAGCACAATATCTTACCTGGATAAGTGAATGTCTCATTCACACTGAAGTCTTCTGGTTGTGGATTCTCAGCTGGAAGCTGCAGTTCGGGGTTCTCCACTGTCACTAGGCTCAAATCCGGGCTCTCAGCCGTCTGTTGCATATCCAAAATCGCCTCTGCACATCGATGCTGTTCTGCCTTAAGCTTCATTCTTTTCTCTCGTTTGAGAACTGATTCCGATCTGGGTTTTCGTTCGTAGCCGAGATTGACCGTCGGAGCCCAGTCCTCCGACTCTTCGTCATCCAAAGCACTTGGGCAGCCTATAGTCCAATCAAGTCAATATTAGACTACTAACTTAAAAGCACTAAGTAAACGAGAATTTAACGACAACCTAATGCTAATAAGTTCGTTTGCAAACATAACATTACCTCTGACGAAGTGGTCGCTGCAGACACGGGCATTGGCAGACCCTGCTCCTCCCGACTGTAAACGTAAATTTAAAATCCATTTTTTCCTACGTTTTTCGGTTAGAATTTTCCATTTTTCTCCTCTTCGTTGGGCTATTTTGGTACCCTAAAATACCGTTTATCAGTTTCTCTGGTCGACCTACTGGAGCATCCGTAAACACAACAGGACATAGGCATTTTGCGTACTGTCTGTCTGTGATTTTGCGCTTATCTTTTTCACTTCCGACCGCCAGTCAAATTTCGCGCTTTACGTCGACGTCACGTCTACGTCAAATGAAACCTAGCTATTGACAGTGTAAGCGGACATCATCATCACTATTCCAATCAATCTTCTCCACACAGACAAGCATAAACACACTCGACTATCACTAAATCAAATTTAACACACGTTTGTAATGACGCTCGTTCATTTTACAATAGGGCTCATTCGCTCAGTCAGCAGGTGGCAGTATCCTCGTATACTGGGGAGTAAACTACCATTAAACAAAGAGAAGAAGAAAACCCCTGTACATGCGCGGCACGGATCGGGGAGTCCTGATCCGTAACGATCTTTTTATTTTTCGTTTTTGTCTACATTATATTGAAATGCTTTATTATTGGAAACATGTTAAGAGATACTTATTATTCTTAACATCTTAACAGATACTCTGACCCGTAACTATCGTAAAACGCTTCGACCGGAAGAAGACACCTTTCGCGCATGCGGGGTACCGATCGGGTTTCCGGTACGGATCGGGTAGTGACAAGGCTGTTTTGTCAGAACACCGGATCCTATGGCCGCTGTAGCTGAGCTCGCTTTTCTTACGAGCTTCACGGATTACAAGGTCTTTTATTTGGTCGCAGAATAACCGGAGCTGGACTCCGGTGCGCCCTGTCCAGCTCGGGCGGTGAGGGAAGCACCTGCGCTCCGAAAACATCGACGAGGAGCTGAAAAAAGAAAGCTGTCGGGTGTGGGCCTTCAATGTCCTCAGGTAGTCTCACAAGTCGTATTTTCTGCCTTCTGCTGCGACCTTCCAAGTCTGCCACCTTGGATTTTAGCCAGTTGTCTTTGCGAAGCGTAGAGCATTCGAACTCTAATTGGTCCAGACGTTGGTCAAATTCAGTGTATGTCGATTCCAAAGAATTAATGCGTTGACCGTGGTCCTGCACTGCAGACTGCACACTGTCTAACTTAGAGGACAAGTCCTGAAAGGATGACTTGAAGTCCGCTAGCAATGCAGCTCTATGCTCCTCGAGCATTAAACTAATCTCGGCTGCAGTTACAGGCGCCGCAGGTGTCGAGGTTTTTCGGTCTCGGTCTTGTTTGCCCTTTGACTTTGACATTCTTTAAATCTTCGGTAGTCGACAAAGGCAAAATACATCCAAAACTGGGAATCAAAATCTCAAAGAAGTAGGTTCGTTAGGTAAATGCTGAGCCGTTTAGCGGAGCGGACCTAAAACACGTCTACCCAGTCAACGCCATTACCGGAAGTCATAGTCCATCATGTATTTCAAACACACAAATAAAGATGCAGAATTTATTTAAATTATTTAATTTCAGTTGCCACTTTCAAACTTTTTCATTTAATAAAATTAATAAAAAACAAAACGAGTGGTCAGCAGTCATCGTGATAGTCGGTGTCATAATTTTTTTAATACTTTGTCCGAGTATGAAAACCTTGTTTTGGCCTCTAAAAGCTGCTGTGGGGGTTTACACAGAGGTGCAACTGAACACCTGCAGGTCAAATTAACATAAGGATGCATTTGGAAAAATGCTCTATGTGAGTGGAAAGTTCTTTGGGTGATCTAATACTGCGTTAATTGATGCAAACATGGAGTGAGTTCATTTCAGTAATTAGCTGCTAAGTGCTGTATGGGCTCAAAATGTGGTCATAAAAATTTTGTACTTGTAAATCGGTTTTGTACTTGTAAATCAGGATTTGTATGTGTAAAAAAAAAAAAAATAAAAAAATTGTGTGCGCGTAAAAAAGATTTGTGTGCGCGTAAAAAAGATTTGTATGTGTTAAAAAGATTTGTGTGTGGACTTAGCCAAAAAAACCCCTGCAAGTTACAAGTACGAATTTTGACCCTATTTTTCTTCCTTTCATCTGATTGGTCAATGTCATGTCAATCACAAATGTAACAATCCAATCAGAGAACAGATGGGTTTGGCTGTCGCATGGGCGCTTTTTTGAACTGCAGTTCTTTGAAGGGAATAAATGCCCTTTTACATGCCAACCCAGCATTTTCCTTCATCACCATGAAGGAAAACAGTCTGTGGTCGTCCGAGTTTGGTGATTTTTGTGTCACAGGTCTACGTGTTTAATACAGGGACTTCCACAGCCTTTTCAACAGCGCTGCGGACCGCGGGGTGGGGGCGGGCAGTGTTTTGGAAATGACAGTCTTCATTACAAAGCTTTCTTCGTTATGAATTAGCATAGATGTTTTTATTGAACATTTGAAGAACTAGCAAAAAAAACAAACTCTTGTAGAGGACATAAAGTCAGAGATAGAAAAGACAAGGAACAGGTGCATCTAGTACAGGTAGAGCTGCTGCAAAAACCCACAGAGCCCAGCAGCCAGCAACAAATTCTGGATCCTTTGCTCTTAGTTAGCAGTTAGCATTAGCAGCACATCCTGCGTCCGATGTGAAAGGACTTTTATGTTGCGCACTGTGACTCACAGCAATGGTCCCGGGTCAGCCCTGACTTTGTGTTAAGCTAATCCTAAAGTAATAATGGTATTTCTAACCACTGATATACCACAACTTTATCCTTTCAACAGCTACTGAAAGTTAGGGGACCTAGCTGCTATCGGATATTAATATAGAGATCCTCCAGCTTCAAACTGTATAGGGCTTTGGAGTTGACGTCACGCCGCAATGCATTGTGGGAGTGCAGCGCCATTTTCGGGGTCTACGAATCAAAACAAACACACTGTGTTGGAACGACGACGACAAGAAAGATGCTTAAAAGCAGCTCAAAAGAGAATGAACTGTATAGACACCGATTGCGTGCAGAGGCAAAGCAGCGGTACTTGCAGAAAATAGTGTGCATTGGAAATGTGGACCCGTATGAAATACGGCCGTGGTGTAGAAACCCTGAAGACCAACTGCTATTGACGTAGCCTGACATATTTTCGTACCTTGTCTGTGGAGTCAGCGCGTACAAGTCGTCATTCAAACAAAGGGAAGTCAGCTTGAGTACTGCGTGTGAAATGCGTTTGATTTCCCTGCAAACATTCAGATTAGTGCAGCATAAATTCATTCATGAGGGGAAATTACAGTGAGAACATGTGGAGGCTGTTAGGTATGGAACGCCAGGACTGCCATAATGAATTAATTAAATACACCATTAAAAAATTGATTAAATGTGGCAATAATTAATTAAAATCGGAAATAATTAATTACATAAATATTTATGACACATGTAATTAATTAATTATTGACACATTTAATTAATTATTGACACATTTAACCCTTTAGAGCCGGTCGGAGCGGGCACGCTCTGTTTTGTGTAACTATTTTTAAATCCCGGTAGCACTGCAACCACGTAAGCTAGCGCAATAATTTTTTTTGCATATGAAACCGGAGGAGTTGTACTTACATCTTATGCCATCAGCTTGTCCTAGGTCACGGTTTCCTTCCACATAAAGCTTTGCAAAAACTGCATAAAAAGCACTTACAGCAACAAAAACATAATATTCCAGAAACACGCTTTGCCAATCCGATCAGCTGTTTGTAACACTTCTTACGTTGGAATAGACGTCAGCGCGAACTTTTGCATGTCCGCCATTACCTGCCCGAAACCGGGAGTGACGTCATTTGTATGTAGTTTTTTTTACCATCAGGGCCTCAGGGCCTATGCTGGTATTTTTAAAAGTTATCTTTGACTTTATGACTTTCTGTGTCGTTTCTGGGATGCTTAGGACTCATATTGCACTGCTGGAAATAGTTTATTTTGATGCATATGCTGCTTTTTTGCAAATTTGCATTATAATATTTATTTTAGTTTTTCCTGCAGTATATGAAAATTGGTGTATTTCAAAAATAATACTACGAAGACACTCAAAATAAATTTCCTGTGGTAGGAAACTATTTTGTGCATTTACAGTTTTGAGGGATAAGCCTCTTAAATTTCTCTAACTAGAAATATATGTTAAAAAAACAAAAACGATTTTCAATTTTTTTGTAGTTTATTGCACTTTTTTGCAATTTATGTATGTACTATGCACTTAATGAATACATATTATTAAAATCTGGGCTATAATTGTTGAATTGATGTATAGCAACTTGAAATGCTCCCAAAAATGGCTCCACAGCATGAAAAATATAATATAAGCTCTGCCGGACTTGGTTCTATGGTAGGTCTTAAAGGGTTAATTAATTATTGACACATTTAATTAATTATTTCTTTATTTCACATTTTAATTAATTATTGCACAGTTGACACCTTCAGGTCTCACCATGAAATAATTTTATCTGTCAACCTCACCCATCAAACTCAGGGGGCGGGGCTAACGCTGATTGAGTCAAATCATTGCTTTGGCCTGGTGGCCATTGTTTTTAGCACACAACAACCGGCATGTGGAAACTAACAGAACTGAACTTTGAAAAACCCTGTTTGTGTGTCACCAAATACCGTTTTAATATCTTTTTAGCCGAGAATGTAGTGGTTTAATCTTCATGTGTCTGGTCGGTTTGTCAACGATTTCGGAGATGTTTGCCCAGTCTCACGGCAAAGCGTGGATAGACCCGTTCGCCTCGCAAGCAATCGAGCTGTTATTGCCACCGACAAAGCTCAGGCCCCGGTACACAGCTGTAATAATCCCCCGCTGACACTGACTTCTTTTACTGAGGTTATATTTATCGGTGTTTTATTTCCTGATGTTCTTATGTGTCCTACGTGTTTCAGTCGCCAATTCTGAATTAGGGCTGGGCCATATTATACCGTTCACGATAATACCGGTATAATGTTAGGCAACGATAGGAAAATGAAATATTGCGATAGAATAAGAGTAAAACGCGCATGCCCAGTGCCTTTGTTTTCATACGCACATGGCCGATTGTTGACTGAAACAAGATTTGGTTTGTAAAAATGGTGCAACTTCAGTGATGTGGAACTGGTTTGGTGTTTGTCTGTCAGATACATGGCAAAGCACATTTTTTTGCAGAAGATGCAAGTGGCCGTCGTTATTGTCGTATTTGTCGGACTAAGATGCTCTTAAATCTGGGAGTAATCTGGGTCCTAAACTCCGTATGCTTCAGGTCAAACGAACACTGCAGCATCACTGAGCGTTAAAAACTGTCTAAATTCTTTCATCTTTAATAAAACGATCAGCATTGCTGCTTTACCAGGTGTAACTATGAAGTTTAACTTCCAGGCATCCATGAAAACTAAATTTATTACATTTAACGGAGTTAGAAGTTAGCAGGAAGCTAGCGGAAGTTAGCTCGCTAGTTTCGCTAGTTACCTAAGCATGATATAGCATGTTCTGACTGAGAGATTTCTGAAAAAATTCAAACGTACAGCTCTGCAACCACTTGCAACATAAATGAAGACAGGAAACTAAACAGCAGTGACGTTTGTAGGGTTACTGAAGTTGGGCTAGCTGGTATATAATGATGTGCTACGTGATCGCTAGCGACACAGCTATGTTAGCATAACAAACAGTGAAGCTGGAGGACGAACGCTCCTGATAGTTAGAGACAAATGCAATCGCATGGCAGGATGCTGTAAACACCAAACTTCAGTCAGGAGAACAACTGAGATAATCCATCCACAATACGAGGTTAGTCATTAATATACTGCAACAACATGGGAATAGAGCAGCTGCCAGAGAATTCAACATTAATGAATCAATGGTACAGAAGTGGAGGAAGCAAGAAGAATGAGTTTAATAAAGTTTGATTTATCTGACTGCTTTGTTTCGCTTAATGTGCGTTTTAATCCCGTGCACCTTATGGTCCGAAAAATACGTACTGCACACTGCA